TACAGCATCCGCAGTTCTTTCGGTTTTTATCTGTAAAAGGCAACTGTACACTCAGACAATCATTATCAGTGCACAGTTCCCCTGAACGGGTGGTGACATTAGCCCTGAAGCTGGCAGGGCTGGGGGAATTAGTGCCCGCATTAGGAACTCCTGAGGGATGGGGTGATATACAGGAGGGATATCTCCTTCCCCAGGACCAGCAACAGGAGGCCACTCCGCCCAGAGCCTGCTACAAGGTTAATACCTGCGCCAGTGCTTCCTGGGTCTTCTGAAGAAATGCTGGCAGGGCAGGAAGTAATTCAATGACCTTCTCTGCTCCATCAGGGTAAATGGTACCATTGTCTTTCCATCGATGCCTCTAAACTTACCCTATCCCTGCTCTTGCACTCATCTCCCACCACTCTCACTGCTCACCACCTCCCTAACCCCCATACCATCATTAACCTTCTGTGCCATTTGCACTGTTTTCTCACTCACTGAGGACAGCTCACCACTTTGCTCCCATCTGTGGAACCCACTTTAATCTCCCTGTCCTTCATTCTCAGAGAGAACAGCCCAGAGCTAGGACAGCTAGTGGTTGCCTGACATTCATCTCTGTCTCCGTCCCTCTCACAGGGAGAGGAACATGACCCAAACTGTCCCAAGGAGCTGCCTGGCTGTGTGCAAGCCCCTGGCCTGGTACCAGAGCCACCCTCAACTTATTGTGCCAGGACTCCCTGTCTTGACTTGGCAGGGAGTCCTGGTCTCAATCAGGACAATTCCTAAGGCCTAGCAGAAGGACTGTCAGTGAGGTACCTCTGGCAGAGGTGGGCGTGGGGCAAAGTGCAAAGATGCAAGACAGGGCAGGGATGCAATGAGAATGCAGGTAGTTCGGGGGAAGCGAGTGAGGGAGTGATCAGCTTGGAGACACAGCCTGCTCCAATCTGTGAACTTGGTGCCAGCAGCATTGATGTGGTAGTGCCAGTAATGCCCAATGAGCAGCTGTCAAACAAGGGAGCCTCTGGGAATTGGATCAGAGATGTTCCATGATATGCAGAGAAGCCAGCGACTGTTAGATGCCGAGATGAGTGGGTGTCCAGTGTGTGTGTGCTCAGTGTCCCGCTAACACTGACACCTCATTTCCAAGATGGAGGTGTAGAGGGGGAAGGGGTGGATGGGAGTCACCAGATTCCTGCTCTCACTTTAATGCCAGGACCTGTCAACATCCAGTTTCAACACAGTGGGTGGCCGGATACAAAGCCGCAGACGAATGAGTTGAGATTTGCAGTAAATGAGGCCCACAGCATGAAACAATCCTGTTAATAGCCCAATGGTATCAATGTGGTCTTCACCAGCTTCAAAATCTCCCCTCCCCCTACCGCATCCCAAAACCAGCCCAGCTTGTCCCCGCCTCCCTAACCTGTTCTTCCTCCCACCTATCCCCTCCTCCCACCTCAAGCCGCACCCCGATCTCCTACCTACTAACCTCATCCCGCCCCCTTGACCTGTCCGTCCTCCCTGGACTGACCTATCCCCTCCCTACCTCCCCACCTACACTCACGTTTACTGGCTCCATCCCCGCCTCTTCGATCTGTTTGTTTCCTCTCCACCTATCCTCTCCTCTATCCATCTTCTATCCGCCTCCCCCTCTCTCCCTATTTATTTCAGAACCCCCTTCCCCTCCCCCATTTCTGATGAAGGGTCTAGGCCTGAAACGTCAGCCTTTCTGCTCCTATGATGCTGCTTGGCCTGCTGTGTTCATCCAGCTCTACACCTTGTTATCTCTGTTAATAGGCAGCTCGCTGCTACCCAGTAAGAATTACATCTAAATGCCTGCAACGCAGTTGGAAGGAGCACCGAGTTGCTCCTGTTGCGTTCATAGACCTCGATGGGCCTTCTCCTGCCATTCCCCAACATTTTTCAAACAAGGTCACATCATATACCGTCCCACCCACCGACAATAACTGCACGGGAGTTCAGATGAACCTTTATACAACTCCGTTTGGAACTGAGCGGCAAAACTGGTACAATTCCAGGCATCACTCATCAGGAAAGTTGTCAATAGTTCAAAGAGGGTAAAGAGAAAAGGTGGTCTCCACCACATGTAACTTACAGGCACGTAAAAATGTTCTTTACTCCCTCAGCACTGACCCTCCGACAGTGCGGCACTCCCTCAGCACTGACCCTCCGACAGTGCGGCGCTCCCTCAGCACTGACCCTCCAACAGTGCGGCACTCCCTCAGCACTGACCCTCCGACAGTGCAGCACTCCCTCAGCACTGACCCTCCAACAGTGCGGCACTCCCTC